AGGAGGCAGAAAGATATGGGCATGTGTGAAAAGTGTTGGAAATAGCATCAAGCTGATAACAGAAACAAAGCTGTGGATCAACGGGAACTAGATTGGCAATACAGTTGAAAAGCATGACGCCTGCTTGTTTACAGATAGGAGACACTGAAGTCCACATAGGTCACCACCCACATTTTGGGTATCCTGTAGTGGTAGAATACCAGATTTTGATTGTACAGCACCATTTTCAGCGCTCAAGAGACTCCACAGCAACACTAGTGTAGCACTCTGCAGAATTAGGGACTTTTAAACCCACAGCACTGCTGTGCAAGGCTGACTAACTCCAACAAAAACAATGAAGCATTCTCTGAAGTAGAACAGCACATCAGCAGGCACTGTGCTGCCACAGGCAACCGGGCTACCATTTTGTTTTGTATCCAGCTTTTAAGTCAAATCCTATAACTGTACGTGAGAAAGCCATTAGAAATAGTCTGACAATATTCAAAGCTAATTAAAGGGGTGCAGAATGTGAAGTCTTACGGGTAGTCAGTGGTAAAGCTACCACAAGCGAGATACTGTCTCTGAGAAGTCTATCTAAGCACTCTAGAGCAAAAAGAAACTATAGTGCTAGACTAGTTATTGCTTCCAGACTAACTACTTAAGGTGTTATTCTGTGGAGTTGTAATGAGAGCCAGATAACCTCCAACTGGTATTTATCATTACAACATCCTCTAGGAGGCTGCTGTTATCCCCATTTTGCCTGCCAGCAGCTGAGGATGAGCACAACTAACGTTCAACAGCTAGCAGCATATCATCAAATGGCTGACCTGAAATGACTTGCTTACAGGCACTCCAGTGGTCAACAATGGATCAGAGCCAAAACAAGCCTCTAAGTGTCCTATTGCTCACTCTCTAACCAGCTGGTCATTTAATTTAAAGAAAGCTTAAAATATAGATCATGCTGTCTATCTCCCCTATAAGAACAGCAGCCTTTCGTGAACAGAAGAGCTAGACAGCAGTCTGCAGGATTACAAGATCAAGAACAAACTTAATTTTCACACTTGTTAGCTTCAACATCTAAAATGCAATGAAATTCAGCATATATATACCCAGTTACTGACTGCACACTGGACCCAGTTCAGTTGCTATACTGACTTTATATCCTATAAAGAAATGTAGAGATCCAGTATTAAACCAATGCCTTTAACCTCTTCTGCACACGCTTTCTCCAATCAAGACTTATCAGAGCACAGAAACACGGGAGAGTTCAAAATGGCATTTCATTTCTGTAGAAACTTTTCACAGTATACAATTTCAGGTTTTTTGCAGTATACAATTTTGGTTTTTGCTGAAACTTGCAGCAATTTATTAGTAAACTTGTTTACCACAGTGTTGTGCATGAAGCAGCTCAGGATAGACGTGAAACAAATGGTGCAATGAGCATTCATCTGTATTAGGAGATTGATACACACAAGTAAAGTTCATAGAAAGGCAGCAGACATGACATGACAGTATGAAAGAGGGGAAGCATCTTGCTCTGCAACACACATGAGCAGTGGGCATAGAAGTATTTAAGCATAATGCACAGACATGCTGAACATATATATTTATTGACGATCAGAGTATTAAAATCAGACTTGGTTTTAATCCAAAAATAACACATGCCATAAAAGCTCATGAGTATGATTGCATTCCTCAGGTCAAGTAGACCTGAGCTTTCTCACTCATGTTTTCCTCTGTGGCTCCTCCTCCTGCTGCTGTTTTACCTTACAGTTCAATCCAAATGAGTTTCAAGTTCTTCCTTAATCAAGAGCCCAGAACTCCAGCACCTCTCTCTCTATCAGATGTGGCTGAAGAATGGAAATGAGTGAAGCTTGGCTTTCAAAGCCTATTTATTAAAAATAATAATAATAATCAGCAGAGTGGGAATATAGCCATGGTTTAGATATTTCTTAATCACACAATTAAAAAATGAGCAGATACTTCAAAAATATTAAGTAGCTATATTGAACAAGTTCTTGAACTCATTTACAGTCCAGCTACAAGAATAGTATTTCCTGGGGAAAAAAAAAAAGTCAACTATAAATTGTCTTTTATAAATGAAACCTTTATAGGAAGTGCAACCAAATATGATTATTGCCTATTGGGTCTTGCACTTTAAATGCAGCCAAGACCACTTCCTGGGAATGACATCTTTGCCTCCAAGATTCAGAATTTCTTCAAGATGCAAGGTAATCAGAATTATACATTTTCTGCCCTTTGGCAGCAAGCACAGCCTTTCTATAAATAGTTCCTAGCTCTAGAACTCCCTTGCTAGTTAGCATCCTGTGGTAGGTATTACAGACTGTACAGATCATCCAGGTCACAAACCACATTCCTGCTCAAGTGAATTAGCAGAATCCTTTTTCCTTAGTGAAATTTAAGAAAAAAGACACTTAAAACTTAAAGCCAACTATAAGGCATGGGGCACGTGGCAGCATGACATTCAAAGCCTGTACATTCCCCAAAGTTCAACAGTTTTGTCTTCTCTTTAAGGTTGATCTCCCCACCCCACCATACACATTTGTATGCTATTTCCATGGTGCAGACCTCCTGTCTCCTCTTAGCCCAATGCTCTGTAACACCTCTCCAGGTCTCAGCAAGCACTCTGTTTCATAGGGAGGACACGGAGCAGCTCCAGTGCCAACTACAACCAACTTGTTGCTCCAGGGCATCAGTGCTAATGGCTAATGAGGGGATTCTCCATTTTCCATATCAAGGGCCACTTCTCAAAAATGGAAACTCCAAGCATTTCTCTACTCATAGTGGATTTTTAAGGCAGACAACAGGTGGTAACTACAGCGGTATTTTGTACTGAAGTAACATGCATTCTTAGCTGGTGTTTAGTAAGTGAAAGCCAGGAACTCCCATACTATTGTAATAGATAGCTCAGGCCCTTGTTCTTACCTGAGGTATTAGATTTTTGCACAGCCTATCATTAACCTAACCAGCATGCCTCCTTGGCACAAGAGCCTCATCAAGTGTTCCCTCCTAATAGTCCTCTGGGTTCCCCCCTAAGTCCTGTCTGCTAAGGGTTCTTGATTACGGATTTGCTAGTGAAAAATAGCTAAACCACATGAATGTTACTGCTAAACATTTATATTGTCAAAAGACAACTAATGATAAAAAGAATAAGTGACTGTTTTCTTTCCAGCACAGGCAGCAAAATGGGAATATTTATTCCCCTATTTCCATACTCAGAGGGGGAAAGTCAACAGGAGCTTCAAGCCTTGAACTTCCAGATTTGCAAGACCTGAGCTAGCCTTGTCACTGGTACCCACTGAACACAGATTGCAAAGGGGAAAAAAAAAAAAAAAAAAAAGAAAAAAAGAAAAAAGGAACTATTCTAACCCAGACAAAAGAGCATTCTTTAATTTATGAGAATTAATATAGTTCTATAATAAACCTCTTATCATCTTCCTAATAGTTTTAGGCTTATTTGGGAAAGATCAAAAGCAGGAAACATTAACAAAACACCTCTGATCTTTTTATTGATTTTAAGTTTCTCTCATTTGCTTCTGAACATCTTCATGAAACGTGCACACAAGCACAAAGGATTATACATCACATGATCTAAGTTTTTATTAGATAGATGAAAGAGAAACAGATCAGCTCCCCTCAAACTGCAGTGCTCTTTCACTGCTGTTTACATGCTTGCAATTGCTATAAGCAACAGGACATTAAGTAGCTGCAGAAGATACTAAAGCAAAAATGAGGGGAATGCCTCCTAGATCTTAAGCCAATGCTTCATCTGTTTTTCTTTGAGATTGAAGTTTCAATCATTATCCCAATGGTTTATGAAGTTTGTTACTTCTGCATTCACTCAATACTTATAACCATACAGGGCTAACAAATCCTGTCTTTCCCTTCCACTTTTTTGAAAACCATTAAGAGAATCACAACCAGTTAGCAACAAAGACTAATACTGTCACCATTTGAGGCCTAAAGCCCACTTCTGAGGAAGGTGTTGCTTTTATGAGCCAAGTATACTCAGTAAGTAATCAATGTGGCCAATATCCTTGCCTTGCTCTGCCCATACTCCGGCAAGGGATTTTGGCAACTGCTTATTTACTCTGCAAAGTAATGCCTCCTCTCATACATATATGACAGTGAGTTCATGAATTATGCAAGATATTCACAACCTTGTTCAAGTTTGTTCTAAGAGCACACAGCTAGCTATGAAGCATGGTCAGACTGAATTTGTTGTCACAGCTTTTCTGACATGACCCAAATGAGAGGGCTAGACTAACCTGCTGCATTCAGTACCCTGCTAACTCTCATTTGCCTATGTCCAAGGCAAACGAGCAAACTAAGAATACACATTAACAGCTAAATCTTTTTTTTTAAAAAAAAAAAAAAAAAAAGTAAACCAGATAATATTAGGGGAAAAGACCTATAGAAATAAGAAATGAGCACAGGGAGTGTAGAGCTTGATTGTAAAACTGAAGCAGTATCTGCATAATGTTTTGCAATATCCAGGAGGTCCACAAAACACTGTGTTGCTAAATATACTACTGGGAAGTATCATCCTTCCTGTGTGAAGGAACATGACTTCTATTCTTCCATGGTGTGTAGTATGTAAGTATTGTGACTCCGAAAGACATCTCAGACAGTTAAATATTATGAAATGAAGCGAAAAGTAACCAAATTTCTTATCCCTTCAAATACATAAGGCAATCTTTCCCATCACAGCCTTTTCAACAGTCCATGTTAATAGCTTTACTTTGACTTGCAGTAACCTCAATGCCCCAAGAAACATAGATAAAATGATACAAGTCTCCCCTCAGGAAACATCCAGAGGGGAGATGTCCCCAGAGACCTACACTTTTTATTCCATGCCAAGAGATCAGCACAGTGATTTTTTCCCACAGACCATCCAAATCCCATGCCTACAGTACTGCCACTGACTCCCAGGGTTACCTGAGCCAGATGCTGGCCAGAAAGGGGACAAGAGTAAGGCAACAAATGTAAGGCTGTCTTACCTGGCTCTGCTCGGAGGGGCACTCATTCATCAGCCAGCCAGCACCAGCATCTCACAGCAGCAGCCAGAGTCAGACGCCACCATGCGAAGGGAAGATCCCCATCCAGAGAGGCAGGATACGGGCTCAGGAGGAGGGGACCCTTCGCTGTGAACAGGACACCAGCTCCAGAGATGTGAGGTCAGTGACAGGCAGCAAACAGAGCCGAGAGCTGCTCCACTCCTCCTCTCACTCTGTAGCACATCTCTCACTGCCAAGTACACACGCTGCCTGCACAGGAGCTGTGTGCCTTGTTAACCCTCTTCTGGCTGTAGGGCACGAAGCAGGAGCTCCCCTTTTAGGGGATCTTCCTTTCCAATCCATCCTCAGTGCTGTTCCTGTAGAAACTCATCACCCAGATCAGGTGGAATTTTGCAAGGCAATCTAAAAGAGATTTAAAGGAATGATAATGAGGCTGCAAACCCAGCAACTCCCCCACACATAACAGCCAAACTGCTGCAGATGTGGAAACTACAAATAAGACCTCGTATCATCACAACAAGGGTCTGCCATGGAATGAAGGTGTGTAGAAGAGCTGAACCCCACACTGCTACCTAACAGAGCACTGGGGCTGGAAACAAAGTGGTTTGCATTGTACTATGGAGGGCTCTGAAGAGGGCTCTGAATATTTATATTTCCTCCACTTAGGCATGGATTTAGAGAGGGGCAGATTTTGTGTACCCATATCCCCCCACCTTCAGCAAAAATACAGGAGTATTCTTCAGGAGTTTAAGTATTTGTTTCCAGCATCAAAAAGGTTAGGGCACTAGCATTATATACCTGACAAAAGTGACATATAGAGAACACAGACACTGAACCAGATCAGGTTAACATGTAATCAGGTTTGTTCTAGCATCAAATCACCCAAGCAGAGCATACCACTCATGTGCCATAAGAAGCTCATACCTGTGATACATGATCCCCTTCTGGATCACATTCACTTCACTTCTGCACTTCATTTTAATTCAATAACCAGGGACCAGTTTTTCCTTCTTTAACAAGACACCCTAGGGATTTGGACACCTCATCAACTATAATCATGTTGAAATCTCTTGGATACCTGTGCCTTTTTACCGCAGTCCAGTACAGCAGCTAATACAAGAGCTCCAGTTCCATCAGAAACACTATCCATCCCACCCTGTGGTAAATGCCAGGTCTCTGGGGTCAGGCTGACTTCTACCATCTATGTCAGAGAAAGGTGGCATGGTATGCTGTTTTTAGCAGGTTAATACAGCCCACCGTAAGCCAAGATTAAATGTTAGAATAAAAGTAGCACATTTCCTTAAGAACATTTATTCTTAGAACAAGACTGCTAATGGACCGTGGTCAGAGAAGTGAAGTGTAGCTTCAAGCAAATGGTAGAAGGCAGATTATCAAAAAATCTTCCCCAAACAAAACCGGGTGATCTCTCCTACCTACATCCTTCCCCATCACCACCAAGACAATCTAATTCAGGGCTCTGAGCTCCTATACCATTTCTTCTGTAATCAAACCTCAGCCATTGGCAAACCCCAGTGTTTGTTCTTTAATACCTGAGCATACACGTGACTGGATGCAATCGCATTTTGCAAGGATGTGAACAGGCTGTAGCCAAAGAGTAGCATTCAAGGGAACAAACTTAGTGTGAAAGACTGCTGCAGCAGCCAGACAGGACTGCCGTCAGGGACTAGAAGTTTGTCCATGCTGCAGAACAGACACCCAGGTTATCTTGGCTAGCAGACGCAATGTAAGCAGGGAGCAGCAGGGTGCACTAGCCTACTCAGCATGTCCCACGCTGCACAGCTGGGCTGCTTGGCTGATGTACACAGCAGCATATGGAGAGCAAGGAAAAGTAGTTATCTCCCAGTGCCTTCAAGTGGAAGAAAGTCTTCCCCTACCCCCAACATCAAAGCCTGCCTCACACAGAGGCTCCAGCTTGCGTAATTATCTGATCTACTACAGAACAGCAGCATTATACATGCTGGGACACAACATTCCTGGTTACCACTGGGTTGTGAAAACATTTATATACAAGTTAGCTGAAGTTTGCTAACAGGCATCACAGCCACCTCCCTGCAATTTCAGCTAACTTCTTCTCCAGAAGATGGTAAGCCACAAAGTTTGCTCAGAGAGCATCTTCACTGCACCTCTTTTGTCTCCAAATCTTGCCTGTTACGTTTTACCTAGTTTGCTTGTATCTGCATACAGACTGTGTCCAAATGTGAAGTTTTTTCTCTACCATTTATATTAAAAAAGTAAATCAAATGGAATTACATCCCAATGGAAAAGCTCCACCTTTTTTGATCCTACATTAGATTCTAGAAAGTTGCAGTCCTCCTTTGCTACTGTCACATTTGGGCTAACTGTGCAGGGAATATTTTACATCTGCTTACTATTATAATAGGATATTATTTATCCAAGTTGGACTCTACGATCCTTGTGGATCTTGCATCTCAGGATATTCTGTGATTCTATGAAGTACCAATAACCCACAGAACACAGCCATCCCCTGACCTCTCAGTGAACAAACTGTTCGCTTTGCCTATGATTCTTACTAGCTATGCACAAGCAGGCACAGAACCAAAAGCACTGCTCTTCAGCTCATGGAGCATACACAATGTGCATGAGTAAAGCACTGTTCCCTAACTATGCAGTTCTGCAGGCTGACACCACAAGCAAAGTGAGCAGTAGTCTGTCTGAAAAAGACCATCCAGGCATTCAGCAATCTGAACACTGTAATCAGTGTCTGAGGTTAACCAACCTGGACTTGGAAACTTCTGTTCTCAGAAGCCAAAAATGTCAGGGATACAGCTGCTATTCAAATACAGTCACTTCTCAAACTAGTTGCTTGTGATATCTTTGTCTCTCCTGCTTTGAGTGCTCATCTATAAAAAGCAAAGCTCACCCCTTCCAGAAGCCTGCTACTCCACACATCACCTGATGTCTCAGAAAAGCATCCTTGAAAACAGAGCTGTCAAAGCACAGCTTAAAATATTCTTAGAACGAGAAAGTTACACAGGGTTTTCCACAGAAGCCAAGTTGGTGACTTTTGATCATAAACAAGAAGATAACAGTACCAAAAACCATGTTCCCTACACTTAGGATAATTATGCAGTTGGACATCAGGCATCCCCCTGCTTATTTTCAGACAGAAATCCACATTCTGTTTCCTTGTGAAGAGAAAGAATGTGTGCCCCTACAGCCAGCTCTACCATTTTACCTCCCACAGGCTCTAATCTCCCTTCTGCAAGCTGAGAGTCAGCACAAAGCTAATCCGGTGCTTCAGAGAATGGAATTTGACCTCAGAGACTTACAGGGATATTGATAAGCTGCAAAAGAAATGCAGTATTACAAAGGGAAAATAAAACACTAAAAAGAGCCCACCTAGACATTGGATTAAGTCTGTGGTTGCTCAACAGGTTCCTATTTATTCCCTTTTAAATATGGTTATTTTCTGCTAAGACTTGACTCAAGGGCAAAACCAACATTTTAGTTTTGCCAAGCATCCCATTTCTGACACAAGACCAATAGTCAAATACTGCTTGACTGCTACAGTATTTTTTCTCTGGGCAGTCAGGCAGCTCCAAGCTTTGCTCCTAGATAAGCCACAGGACACATCTTAGCACTTCTGTAGTATTCTCTGCTTACAAAATGTTGGAGTTGTATCCCTTCAAGGCAGATCGCCACCATCCCAGATAGAGAAAGCAAAGCAGAAGTGGGATGAGAACTTGGGAAAAAAAAAAACACCTACAATACAGAATTCTGTTACTATACAGCTTGGCTTTTTGCATACATCTTTATTGCAGGAATGTATCTTCACTTCTATCCTGAACAGAATAGAGAAAGCAGCTAACTCAGGACTGCAGGTACAACTCCTGAATTATTCACAACTGCAATAGGCTCCATCCACCTATGAAATGCACCGGTACAAGCTTTTACTTTTCAGGTGGCAATACAATAATAAGAAAAGCCAAAAAGACCTTGTTCTTATTCACAGGTCCTTAGAGGAAACTTGAAAGGGAGGTTTGGCCTTTCTATTCCAAGAAAACAAAAAAATGGAGTAGTGGAATTTATTCCCCCTCAAAACTAGAACGTGAATCACTTACCAGTAAGTATGAGCAGGGAGAAGGGAAATCAGATTACTTAAAGGCAGAAAATAAGTAGAAGTTGAACAGCTTCTGGTGTTGTGCGAGGCAGATGGAGTACCAGATCTGAGCAACTTCAGCTAGAGCACATTACCTGAACTTACAGCACTCAGGACACCCTATCCAGAAGAAAGAATGATCAACAAGGTTGAATTTATACATTGTCAGTAATAAGCAGTACACAATTGTGAAAGTGTCTTCAGGAAAAAGTTTTTTATTATTATTTTTTATTTATTATTATTTTTTTTCCCTTCTGAGATACAGTGTTCCAGAAGCAGGTCCTAGCTTTTCACCTCGTTTCCCCTCATGGTCCATCCCTCCCTCCCAATATGACCAAGCTAGTCTTGAATCAAGGCATTGGGTGGGTAACTCGGAAGCTAAAAGGCATCTCAGCACCTCTGAGTGCTGAAGAGAAGAAATGAAAGCACACGTACTACAGAAAACTTTAAGACAGAAGGATTATATTACTCTGAATCACTTCCATGAAGAGTTCTTGGCCTACAAGCCATCTACACCAGACGCACTTGGCATTCCTCAGGCCATGGATGTCAGGCCAGATTAGATACTTATGCTAGATATTTTTCTTTCTTCTGTTTCCAGTTGAATGCTCCTGGCAGAAGTGCTCAACTGTAGGTGCTAAATTTCTTTCAGTAAACCGTTGCATCCTACTCTTAACTCCTGTTTACTTCAGAAAACCCACTTACAAAAGGAACAAAAGTACTGTGATGCAAAGAAACACTATAGTCTGAGAAGTTGTAGTTGTCACTAACAACAGGAGTGGGCAAAACAGACCTGGCAGAAAACAACCACGCTAGCTTTGAGCTTCCTTTCCTCAGGAACGAATCCTATTATCTCAGCCTTGCATGCAGTAAAATCACTCTGTAGGCTGCATTTGGCAGTTCTGGCAGAGCTATGTAACAATGAACTTTCCAGCTATCAGTTCCTGTTGCAATCCATAACAGTTTGATAAGGAGAAGAAACAAAGATATTAAGACAATCAAGTCCTTAACAGGCTGACCTGGCCCTTTGAAGTGATAAAATGGCTTATTTATTGACCCTCAGCCTTTGATACCATATGTGAATAGCAAAAAAGAAGAAAAAAATAAAAGTGAAATGACATTTTAAAATTTCATTTAGATTTGGCAATTCTGTAGATGTAAGTAATGCATACAAGTAGTTTAAACTCAGAGCTAAATTAAGTACCTTTCAACTTTAACATGTGCCTTAGAAGGTTTTTCTAGTTACATTAATGCTACTGTC